CACACACACACACACACACATACACGCACACAAACTAAAAAACAAATAAACAAACTACACACGTCCCTAAAGAAAAAAACGGAACTTACCTCTAAAAACAAAATCGGAGCACAAACTTCACCAAACTACGTATCAGCGTAAGAAAATCCTCTGAGGAACCTTCCTCTGTCCTCTTCCTCTCCTCCTTCCCTTTTGCTCCTCCTCTCCTCTTTATGAACAAGTGGAGTAGCGATGTTCTCCACCGTTGGAAGATGAAGAGATGCGTTCCTTCAGGCTGCCACAATCTCGACTGAACAAGTCCCAGTTTCCTCGCCGGGGTTTGATCAAAGAGCTTGGTAAAATCACGAGTTGGTGATCCGGTTATACAGTTATCCGGCTACTTTCCTCTGAAAGCGCCAGCAGTAACTCTATTCCTGAACTGGTGAGACATTAGGTACCTTATTTTAAAAACTCAGTGAAGGTTGCTTTTCTGGTCATTCAACAATGTTTTAGTTTTCAGTTTTACGAGCGAGTAACAACCAAAAAAAAGGAGAGATGAGGACGGTAGATGTTTGAAAGTAGAGAAGAAGCAAACCACACCAGAGCACACGCTCATACTCTGCCGGAACAACATAGGGGGATAGATTTGTTGGCACTTACATGACCTAAATTTTATTGAGTCGATAAGGCCGTAAAACACCTACTCAATCAATCAACAAAGGGGGAACTGCTGCTTTTTCTTTCCTCATCCTTACTATCGTCATTTTTCCTCTTTTTCTTTTGTATGTTTGTCACTCTCTCGTGAACTGCTATTTCCAGGGTGCCTTAAAAGTCGAAGCAGACTTTGTGCTGTTGAGGCCAGAGAGGTGAGCAGAGTAAGCCTGATTCCCCGTTTGGACTTCTCTGTGCAGTCGCAAGCGCCGTAAAACCTTACTAAAACTAAACTAAAAGCTCGTTTCTTAGTAAAATTTGACAGAGAGAGAGTTTGAGTGTGTGTATGTGTGTTTGTGTGCGTGAGTATGTGTATGTGTGTGTTTGTGTATGTATTTGTTTGTGTCTATTTGTATGTGTTTATTTGTGTGGTTTAGGTAGTAAGAATTATAACCGCCATCGGATAACTGACCTGCTCTTAGTACAATATTTTTATTCTAAGTTACAACACTAACCTCCTAACCAACACCCCCCCAAAAAAAGCTAATTTTAACCGGTTAACAGAAAATGAGTACCACCAAACAGTCCGGTTTTTCTGAAACCGGATGCATGCCCAGCTTCTGGTGGATAACCGTTGTGGCTGAACTAACGGCAACCCCTGGGCCAGCGACGCACTTCGCGCACGTTCCCCGCCCGTCTTGCGTGCCATAGATCATGTAGACCTCGTGGCCGGCCCTCTGTGTGTCTCTGTGGACAGAAAGTCTTTCTCACGCCAGACCTTCGTTAGTTAAGCAAATGACACTGGGCCGGCGCATAGTCGGTCCCGGATCTTGGGAAGTGGAGGGGGGGGG